CTCGCTTATCTGGGAATATACTGCTCTTTTCCCTATCCATGATTGTTTTTTGTTTTTATGTTCCTGTATCTGTATTTTGTATTTTCATCTCCTTTTATTTATTTTTTTTGTATTATTTGTAAAGTGACCTTGAGTGTCAAGAAAGGCGCTGTTAAATAAAATGTATTATTATTATTATTATTATTATTATTATCTCAGATCCTGATGTAAGACCTTCCTTTGTCTCAGCTCCTAAATGTCTTTATGTGTTTGTTTAGAGGAGGAAGCAGATGGTTAAGTGTGAAAGAAGACATTGAGCCCTCAACTGTTGGGGCATTAGTGGTTTTATTGTGTTTTATGATCTGCTCCTCTCCATCGAGCCTATTTTCTGTAGAAAATGCATTATGCTGTATCACAGCTGTGTTTTGCTTCCGATCTTAACATTCAGTCTCATCCAACTATGCATATTTTATGGGTATTACATAAAGTGATGCTAATTAATTTTAACACATTGCAGAATATTCCTTGTTAAAACATATTATTATTATTAAAGCTATTACTATTTTTTTCAAAAAAATCAGCCATGTGTTTGTCTTTAAACCAACCTCTATGGATTCACCCAATACAGTATATGAAGAGCTTTTGATGCTTTTTCTGCTTTGCTTTTGAGTTACATCTTCAACAAATCAGCATTCAAGAAAATGGGAATGACTACTGGACATTCGGCCAGTTTTTCCAAACAGCTGTTATAAGTTGTTGTTTTCCACTCATCCATTTAGGACTTGGGAAATAATACTTGTGTGCAAACTTCCACTGACACATTTTCTTTAAGATATTGTTAACTTTCAGCTAAAGGCATCAATGTTGTCTTTAATTTTGTAAAAAAGTGAAATGATCTACTCGCATGGACGACTGCTGATGATCTTGGTGCTTATATCTTAAACAAAATGATTCCTTGTTTGTTGAACCAGGACAGGACTAATGTATGCATACATTGTTTATATGCATAATACAGTGAGGTAAAGGAAAAATAAAAATGACCAGTTGTTGTTTTCTTACATCTAAAATGACGTTTTTAGTCTTGTGTCGATCCAACAGTATCTTCATCAGAACTGCAGAGTCGTATCTTGGCTCTGGAGGACCAGCTGTCTGAGAAGGTCGGGAAGCTGAAGTCCATCCAGAGCGAAATGGGCTTAATGAAGAAGGAGCTCGCTGCCAAAGAGCTAAGCCTGCAGAAAACGCAGGATGAGCTTAATGCGGCACAGACACGGGGAATCCAGGACAAAGAGCGGGTAAAAACTAATGCCTGATTACTACTACTGTCTACACATCAGTCATAGATTTATTTATTAATTTATCTGAGCATGATTATTTAAAATGCCCTTTTCCCATATACCCTGTTTATATATTACAGCAATTTATTCTTTTGATCTAAATCTCTCAATTGCATGTCTAGTAATTGAGAGATGACGAAAACAAGTTAATAAATATGTTTTCCTTTTTTTATCTTTATACATATCAGTTTTCTTTTAAAATCTAAATAACTTTAATCTTTTTAATAATTAGGCTCACAGAGTAAAAATAAATGACATAAATGAAAATCCCTTTTTTTATTACCCTACAAAGAGAGGTCTCCTTCTTTTGTTCAGGGATGTGGTGCTTTACGTCAACAGTAGAAATTATTCTCTTGGCTAAAATGCAGTAACTCATTTATAACATAATTGATGAAAAACATTTAAATGATCTGATTTCTTTTCCTTTTCAGGTATCAGAAGCAGAGCACAAACTGAAGCAGCTTCAAGAGGAGCTGAAGTGCCAGAGACAAAATGCAGAGAGCAGTCGGCTTCAGCACCAGCAGCGCACCAAGGAGTTAGAGAAAGTGCATCAGAGGGTCAGACACGAGAAACTGAATCTGGTCAGGTCTCTCTGTTCCACAGTGCAGTTTCACAATCAGCTGTGTGTTTTGGATTCAGGATTTAGCAGAGCTTCAGAAGGAGAGGCAGTGTCTTGAAAAACAGCATCAGCAGGAGGTGAATAAGCTCAACCAGGAGCTCCAACAGGCCAGGACACTTCACAATGCTCTGCAGGCTCAGGCTGACAAGGTGAATACAAACATACATAAAAGAGAATGATACCCATCAACAACACGAGCTGATCCTCTCAAATAACACATCCATATTTGTTAATATGAGGTTTGTATCAACAGTGGAAACTGCAGAGCTGCATGACTCTGTTTCATCCAACTGCCCTGTTTTGTCAGCCGTTTCCTTTTACTCTTTCCAACCCTTTGCCCTTTCTTTATTCAGTCTTCTTTCCAACTTCTTTCAATTGTATTATTTGTACTGAATGTCAATAAATGTTTTTATTTTCTCCCAAACTTTCTTCTTGCCTGTTTCTGCCTTACTCTCTTGCTTTTATGTTTCCATTCTCCCACATCCTGCTCCCACTGTGCTTCGTCCTCTTCTTCTCTCCCCTTGGTCTGTCCCCAGTGGAAAAACAAAATCAGCAAAGGTAACAAATGTATGACTGCTTTGCTTTCTAAGTTCTAGAATAAACCCAAAACCTTTAAGATTTTGTTTGGATGCAATGGGAGGGAGATTATTAATGTGTTGTTTTTTTTTTACAGCTTCGTAGTTTTTGTTTTAAAAAAGACTTGGTATTTAACTTTACCAGAAATTAAGTTTCTTATTGGGTGACACCCATCTTTGGGTCACACGTGTTAAACAGTAGTGACTGTTTCACACCAGCTACAGTCAAGTCTAATAAAGTGCTGCTATAGAGAGTAGATTACATTTGCTACCACATGCTAAGAGCTTGACAAAATCCAAAAGAAGTAGCTTAAATATTGTTATAAAATCGAATTTCTTAAAAATAAAAATTACATTTTATGCACCAAACTGGCTGATAGTTGTTTGGCTGCATAAAAACCTTTAAAAAACAAAAGTCAAATGTCTTTAATCCCATTGATATCCGATTCCCTCAGTGGAAGTACATTTATTTTTTTCCAGAAAACTGCCAGTGGAAACTGAAATTTATGAGAAGTTTACTTTGACAGGTTATTATTAATGGGGTTCTGTAAAGCTTTGAAATGCCTTTTCCTGGTTAATTAGTTCTTTGGTACACATATTGAAATATTCAGCCTAACAACAACAACATAAACACAGCATGATGAAGAGAGTAACAAATATAATTTAATGCAGGTACAAACTAACAATACCGGTTTGGTAGGTAGTGGATCACTTACATGCAGAATGTAATATTGTGCAGAACTCTTGAGCTCCTGCTCATTCTTCGTGTTCATCTAAATTTTTTTAGTTCTTTAATAACTTTGATGTTTTTTTATCATTCAGTTCTAACTATCAGAAATTTTATGCATATCTGTAGAGGATCTTAAATGGCTCCCTGATGATAACAGATGCATCGTCTTGAAAAATGCATCATACTTCACAGTCTAATCTTTTTGCTCGCTAGCTCTTTAGTTCAGGGTATTTGTGCAAAAATCTTCTTCAAACTGTTATTTGGGGTAATGACTGGTGTAACTTCAGCAAGACAAACTGAATCTTATTCAGGCTTTCAGTGAAGACATGCCTAAAGATCAGATTTAAAACTTTTTCTTAGGTTAGTTATAATATGTTGACACTGTGTTGACTCAAAGAGCCTTACAGGCCTGACAAAATGAGTAGAAAAAGCTGCTTAAGTCCAAAGGAATACCTACAGAGAGCAGGATGGACTGCTGATTAAACTTAAAGCAGAATTGCAAGAAGGTCTGGCTCAATGCTTTTGTACAGTACTGAAATCCTGCTAGTATTAGACAATGTTTCTGCGCATGGACATGCCAGCAGCTTTGTAGAATCATGTTAGAACTGCAGAAGTGTCTTGCAGAGGTATTAGTTCACCTTGAATTCCTCCCACATTTTGTTATGTCACAACCCAAACATTGAATATGTTTTACTGGGATTTTTTGGGTCAGACTAACATTTGAGTATAATTGTGAGTTGCAAGGAAGATGATCCATTGCTTTAAAAATCTGCAGCTAATTAAAGCTTAGAAAGTGTGGTGTGCATTTGTAAAAAGGCAACCTGAGCAGTTAAAGCTCCTACTTGGTGCTGTCTGCAGGACAGTTCTTCCTAGATTTGTTCATAAAGTAGCTTTGTTGTATTTAGATCTTTGCTAGTCAACGTTTAGCACTTTCCTCAAATTTTTATTTGGCTTTAGCTCTGGACTTTAAATAGGCCAATCTTACTAATAAATGAGCTCAAATTGCATCTATTCCAGTGTAGCCCTGGCTGCTTATCTACAGTGGTTGTGTTGCTGCAAGCTAAACCTGTGCCCCAGTCTCAAGTATTTTCCATTCCCTAACAGTTTTTTTTTCCAGAATTGATCCATGTGTAGTTCCATCTTTTCTCTCATGAATTCTGACAAACTTCTCTGTTCCACCTGAAAAAAAAAACACCCACCACAGTTTTTCTCTGCAGTACCGGATAGTTATTTCTGAGACAATTTAAATAAAAATAAGATACACTAATGTTTCTGTCTGCTGAAAGGGAATGAATGCTTGCACCGTATGCCTGCTTATGTTAGCACTATTTGCTGTCCTTTTCTCATCCTGATGAAAGCAACTAAAATAAGAGCCTTTTATCAATCAAACACTGAGTTCTTAAAGTGCCCTACTGATCTTCACCAGCTAACGCCTCATTTATTTTCTCAACCAGCTGTCTCTGCAGAAGCAGGCGCTGGACAAAGAGCTGGATGCTCTGAAGCAGAAGCTGAAGTGGACAGAGGAGCAGCTGAAGGAGAGCCAGAAGAAAGAGGCCCAGACACAGGCCAAGCTAACGGTAACACAGCGGAACAAAGCTCTGCTCCAAAGTCTTGTCTGTCTGCACCTGCATGGGTCGGTTATTCATTAGCTAAGTGTGGAGTTTAACGTGATCGGCATACATTTTTAAACAGCATGCCATATGTCAGCCTGGTCACTGGACGGCATCTGAAGCATGAATTAATTATTAGAAACCTCTGGCCTCTTTTTGTGTTTATTAATGCTTCAGCCAAAACAAAAGTAAGATTTTCTAATTCTAGGCTCAAAAGTCCAGCTGCAAAAAAAGGTGAATTTGTGTGTTAGCTTCCTGTAGGTCCATATGCTAAAAGTCTGTCACTGATTAAAAACTGCAGAGGCAGCACAAACAAAGTGTACCAGCATGACACACTGTACTACTCTCTAACTTGTTTGTTCAGGTTGTTTTGTACTTGTTAAATTCTGCCTCTGTCTAGTTTTGTGCTTTCTTCCCACACAGCATTTTTTTATCTGCAGAACACCAGTAAACATGTAGATCTATGTAGTTATCACTGGTTCTAAAGCTGAATGTTTAATATGCTCTGTGGACTCCACAAGTTGGTTTGATTGACTAGATTTAATCCTCCTGTTTAGTTGTCTTTTTTGTTTCCAACCCTGGTTTTAGGAAGCAGTGCGGGAGGCTGAGGGTGTGGCAGTGACTCTAGAGCAAAGCAGGAAGAGAGAACGAGCTCTGGAGGAGGAGGGGAGGAGGCTGCAGGAGGAGCAAGCTGACACCCTGCGTCTTCTCAAAGAACTGCAGGGTAAGAAGAGAGCTCTTAACCCAGAGAGGCTGTTCAGCAGCAAGAATAACTGAATGATTTTTAAATGTATTCCCAGCTACAAAATGTAGTGTTTTTATAGTGGGATTTTATATGATAGACCAACACTATTTAATTTGATAGGTAGAAGTGAGTGCTTGATATACAGAATCAAGGTTTTTTCTTTTTCTTTTATCTCTGCAATAATCGAGTATTTCTTCCAAGAACTATTCGGTTTGTTAGAGAACACGAGTAAACAAACAGCATTCTTAAAAAAAAGGACAGACAGGAATAAGCTTAAAGTAGGCAGACTATAAACAAGAACTCGCATCTCCTAAAGCACTGTTTAGTCTATCATCTGAAAATAGAGTATGGCACCACCGCTGACATACCAAGACATTGCTGTGCTCCTAATCTGATAGACCACGGCTGTGCTTGCATACAAACACAACAGGGCCTAAAACTTGTATGTGTAATCTTTCCACTCAAAGGTTATGATTTAACAAGCTTGGAGTGAAGATGTGTGGTCCCTCATGTTGAATCAACCGATGCATATGCCCATTTTGAGGACATGGGAATACAGCAGAATTGAAGCTCAGACATTTCATTTCATTTTTTATAAAATAATCAATCATGATTGATGTCATTAGTAGTATCCCGCATTACAGAATAAATCATAAGTATACATGAGGACCTGTCAAAGAAATAAAAAGGCCAGCAAGCAGATCAAACCCTTCATCAAAGTGAATTCAACTTACCTTCTAGCTTCCATAATTTAAGCAGGAGAAAAAAAAAACATTCAGCTTTGCTTCAGCAAAAGATGGTTTTGAACAGTTTTGACTCAAGGTGCATAAAATAAACAAGCAACCACAGAAAAAAAGAATAAAAAAACCTTAATAACACAAAGTGTTTCTTTCCACTTTGCGGTAACACGGCTCTCTGTTGGTCTATCTCATAAAAGCCCAGTAAGTCATGACCATATTTGAATTTTAATGTTACTACTGTAGGAAACATTTAAATACTAAAGAGCGGCTCTGTGTTTGTTGTATTCCCCCCTCCAATAAATGTATAACTTCAGAATAGTTTAGTTGGACACATTATAGTAATTCTGTAATGTTTAGCCCACAAAGGATCTTCCTGAAATAATGTTCACAGGTCAACACTTTCTCATTCTGCTGCAAGGTGGCTTTTTCAACATGGCTGTCATCTTCATTTACGTTTGAGGTTTTAAAGATAAAGAATTACTATGTTTTAATCTATAAAAACTGTTTGTGTTTCTTTCATACCCCAGAACAAAAAGCCTCTGCAGCATCTGCTCCTCAGCCTGCCCATTTTGGTGCTATTGGACAGTCGTTTTCCTCCCAGTCCTCGTACGCTCAGAGTTCTCGAGCTACAGCACAAAGCAGGAGGCCCGCAGCTTCCCAGTCGGAGCAGAATAGGGATGGGAGCAGGGCGGAGATTACAGTGGCGTATCCTTCCGGCAGAGAACCTGGGGAAGGAATCGATGCTGAGCAAATCACTTTCAACATTGCAAACTCTGAGGGTTTACAGAAACCAGGCCAAAGAGGAGAAGGTGATAGAGAGGTAGAGAACAGAAGTAATATCCCCCTCAGTACATCGGCAGACTTTGACAGAGCAAAAGAAGTTGAAAGCTCACCTGTGGCAGAATGTCTGATTTCATCTAAAAGTAAACAGTGTCCTGATTCCGATCAGCGAGTTTCATCTGTGGACCTCAAGAGGGAGAACGACCTCCTGCGCTCAGATCTCCGCGATGTCCGTGAAGAACTCCAGAAACGGTTGGAGGACCTGGAAGCTCAGCGTCGGGCAGAGACGGAAGCGAAGACCCGTCTCAAACAGCTCAGTCGCAAGCACTCTAACCTCGCAGCTGAGAGGGAGGAGAAAGAAAAAGACCTGAAGGCAAAGCTGGAAAATGAGAAAGCTGAGACTGAAAGGCTGAAGAGGACCGTTGCTGCTTTGGAGGCAGAGATGAAGAGAAGCAGAGAGAACATGGAGAAAGAGAAGCAAGAAGAGGAGGAGAAGCCGACACAAAACGACAGAGAAATCAAGCTGATTGAACTAAACATCCAGCTGAAAAATCAGCTGTCAATGGTGAAAGCTCAGCTGGCCTTAGAACGAGAGGAGCGCGAGAGAGAGGAAGAGGAGAGAAACCAAATGATAAACACAGATGCAGATGTAAACACAGAGCTGAGCCTGAAACTAGCAGAGATCATGGTTGATGTTGAGGAGCTCAAGCACAGAAGAGAAGAAGACTCCACAGAGGACGGGAAACTCTCCACTGCCAGCAGCCCTATGCCATCTCTACACGACGATGAGCTCAGCTCCAACACCATTTGCTCTACCGACAGTCTCCTCTCTTCACCAGAGGAACACCTCCTCTTCTGTGAGACCACCAACCAACGCAACACCCTCCTGTCCACGGAAAGTGCACACATTCTCCACCTCAGTGAGGAGGCAACCCAAGACACCTCAGATAGGACCAAAATGTGTCCTTCAGCCCATCAAGGGGATCAGACACAGGTGGTGGAGGCCCTGCAGAAAAAGTGTGCAAAGGAATCTGAACGAGCTAAAAAATTCAAAGATAAATTTGAGGCCCTGCAGATTCAGGTACATGAGAATGACTGTGTATAACATACAGAAATATTGTGTTACTCTCTAAAATAATCTTATTAGGAATGGAAGGTTAAAGATACTGTTAGTTAGATTCTTAGCTGCATTTCAAATCATGGTTTAAACTATTCCTGTATTTCCTCTGTGAAGCTCAGAAATTCCCATTTGAGTCATTACTACAGAGTTCTAAAGTCCCACTCAGGCTGGAAATGTAGGAAATATGTAAAGTCAGGGCTTTTTAAAGTTGATGAACACTTTTTGAGAGAATATCTAGGAATTGTGGTGATAATGTTTGTGATAAAAGGTTCAGAACTTAAAGCTTTACTCCTCTTCTGCCCTCACAGGTAACCCGTCAAACCAAGGAGCTGACCACTGCCTTTGAGAAGCAGAGTCTGCACATTGTAGGCCTCCTGGCTGAGCTGCAGGAGAAGGAGAGCACCCTCTTGAGGCAAGGGGAGGAACTTATCCAATGCAAGCAAGAGCTGAGTGTACTAAAGGAGCAAGAAAACAAGGCAGTGAAACAGACACTGTTAACTGAAGAGGGAGAAAAAGATGAGAAGTTTACAGGGAAATCGGAAGAGCAAGAGGAGGCTCCGACTCCTGTTCCTCCTTCAGACTTTAAAGTTCAAACTGATGAAGTTCAGCCCAACAGTGATGAATGTGATGCTCAAATGGCTCCACCTGTTGGTAGTAAAGAGGAAAGTGCAGCAGTAACCTCTGGAACACAGCCTCAAACCTCTCCAGACATGGGGAGACTATGCGGGTCTGTCTGCGAGGTGGAGCAGGACCCGTCAAGTCAACAAGGAGAAAAAGTCGAAGTGTTTACAGAGCTGTTCGCTCTCAGGCAGGAAAACAAGCTGCTGCAGCAGAGAATCCAGGATTTGGCTAACATGCACACCAGAGACCAAACATCCCAGACTGACGGCAAGAATCAAAACCAGACAGAACACCCAGGTCCTGCACCCTGTTTGGCAGGGCAAGATGTACTGGAGGTGATAAAGGAGGCAGCGCCAGACAAGTTACTGGAAATGGATGTGAAGAAGACTGACGATGAAGCTCAGGATTTAGAACGACAAGAGAAGAGCAGCATGAGTGAGGAGAGAAATCCTGAGGAAATGTCTAATATTCAGATAAAACATCTGCAAGAACAGGTACTGAGTGTAAAGACAACACCTTGTTCTCATAAAGACTGATTTCACTGCTTCTTTATTATTTGAAACCAAACATTTAGTGACTTACTGTGCTCTTTGTTTGTAACATAGAAGCTGGAAAATATTCCAGGACAAAACCCTAATCCCTTAACTTTTAGACTAACTGAAGTATTTTCTCCGTCTGATTGGCATAGAATGCCATTAAAAATCCAGCCACTTCAAAATATTTTTATCTTTTTAATTATTTTTTGCACTTATGGATCAGGTGGGAAATACAGTTGCTTAGTAAGATCCACAGAAAACAAATCCTGTTCTCTAAAAGTGGAAACTTGACTAAAAAATATGCTGTTAGGAGGACAGGAAATAAATCCATAGTGTAATGTTTGTTTTATGTTAAACCAGTTCGAGGGTTCTGTGTGCTGAAAGTTGACATCTGAGTTAAAATACGGTAACTTGATTTTAAGACGTATCCATTTTGTCCAGTTTGAGGTGCTACAGAGGAGAGTCAGGACTCTGACCGAGGAAACCCAGACCCAGGCCCAGGAGCTCACTCTATGGAGGCTATCCTCCCAACCAGCCTCTGCAGTTCAGCAGCAGCTCACCAACACAGACGATGAGGATCTGTCACAGATTCCTGTTTCCGGGCGTTCCCAGTCGGCTCAAAGCCTGGTTCAGAAGAATCAGGACGTCCTCACCATCATCAGGGAGGATGACTTATCTCTCTGCTGCTCCTCTAACAAACTGCAGGGCCGCATGCTGTTCTCCAGGTAAACCAACCATCTTCTGCCACATTTGTAGTAAATATGTGATGGTCTACTGTCAGGCTTTTTTTTATATCTTAGATGTTTATTATGTTTTTAGTTGTTTATTTTGTTTTTTCTCCCTTACTGTTTACACTTGATCACTCCTACACTAAAAACTAAATTTCATTTTGTATAAACTCTGTGTATACAAGATGACAATACAAGTTGTCTGAGTCTTATTAAGTTGATATTTTTCTCTTTTTTCAACATAAGGCTTCAGAACGGCAGCCTTCCTGAACCAAAGAGCATCCGCTCTTCTAAAAAGGCTCCGCAGGGATACACACAGAACACATCCAAGTTTGACCAGGTGATTTAGTGGTCTCTCCCTTTTTCCTTATTTTGTTAGGTGTCAGCACCTAATCTTAATTATTTGAATTCAACTTGAAAAATAAAATATGTGAAGTGCTTTATAGAGCTGCCTGCTATTGCAGTCACAGCCCTTAGTCTTTTATTATGTTTCCAGTAGCTTTGCACGTACAGAGCCTGATAATTCTGTCCATTTTTGCTCCCAAAACAGCTCAAACTCAGTCAAATTGGTCAGAAAGAATCTCTGAAGCATCACTGTTTGTCTTGCCACTGATTATTGTTTATGGTCTATTCTTTGACTTGGTCCTTTTAGGACATAAATAGACGTTTATCTAAATCTTTCTATTGTACCTCGCGTTCTATGTTTGGGGTTCATCTTTAAAAGCAAATCTCTCCAAAATGATTAAACTTCCACAGCCTCTGGCAGGTATTCTTACCTGATTTCCTCCATTTGCATTTATCTACACATCAACTATAACCTGATCCTCTGCCCTTTATGAAGATAAGCATCCATCTATCGTTATCCTGTCACCACCACATTTATGTACATGCATTTTGCCTATAGACTAAAATATACACTTTTTATCACTTCTGAGCTCTCTGTTCCATAGCAGGAAACTAAAACCTCAGTAGTTTCATGCTGATGTATGTATAAGCCTGAAGCCTATTTTCCTGCATTTACTTCGGTTTCAAACTCGCTCTGTTCTGTGAATGTGCCGTCAAACGTATTAATCCGACCTAGCAAACAATCAAAGGGTTATACTCTAAATTGATTTTTTGGATACTAAAAGCGACCAGCGTCCAGCTCAACTCAGGCACCAATGGCAACTCCAGATAAGGTAAAAAAAATAATAATAATAACCCTGTTAAATGCGAGTGCAAGCTACGAGAACAAGGAGAAGAGGGTTGCAGTTCTGTGTTTTGACTATAGGTGGCATTAGGAAACTCTGTAAGAGCTTTTTAAGCTTGGTTTGATGACAACTGGTTGCACTGGTTTTTATTTGGGGGAAAGCGAAATAAAAAGAGTTGAAGATATACATATATAAGGGATGTAAACAAATAATCAAATTATTAATGGTCCATTAATTGTTTAATAGATTATAATTTGTTCCAGTTAATTAATAACGTCTACCGGAAAGGAATTTCCACCAGTGCTTTATTATTATGGCCGTCCACTAGAGGGTCTGCTATTAATACTTAAGCAAAGTCTCAACATTATTTACAAAAAAATTGCAGAATGAACTTTATGCACTGGTGTTTGTTGATATAAACAGTTGATAAACTCATTAAGTTATCTACTAAATGGCGCCTATTTATCCATGCTGCTTGGTTTAGCAGCGTAACTTATCTGCTGTGTGCGGAAGTTGAGAATTTAGCCCCTCCGTCTTTCAATGGGGATGGAGCTCTTTAGCAACAATAATTAGCTTGTAGCTGTCAGCTTACTGACACAAACTTATTATATGTCTAGATGTTCTTCTAAAACATGACTACCTACTTGATTTTAATATCCACTGACCACAGCTTCACAGCCAAATAGCACTCAGATAGCCGAAAAGCAAATTAAGACCAAGTGTTTTGATGGGCCTCGTTTCAGCAACACACGTAGCAGCGCCGAATTATGCTTTTCTAATGAAAGCCAACAAGCCACTGAATCGACCGAAATCCAACTCATTAGCAAAATTCTGATAATTTGCACTTGTCAGGTCTAAGCACCTTAAACATCATACATACATACATACAGGGAAAGAAAGAAGGCACAGAGACAATTAATTTAGTTAACTCACGAGGAGAGTAGGAAGAGACTGCGGAGTTTACAAATCTCCAACCCACTCTGCCGGTCTTCAGCTTTCTCCTCGCTATTTATTGAAGTCAGGGGGTGTCCCTAATTACACAAGCTGAGGTTTAACTAAGGGAAAGGGAAACAAAATGATCTTACTTTAAACCTCCGCACATATGTTAAAACAAAGCATGTGGTTGTTTTACAATTNATCATGCCAAACTGTTCCAAAATGGCACAGTAGGGGTCTCCCTTGATTTTTGTTCAATCCAGTCATCTATAACTGCTCAATTATGGAGTGCTGTATGGACATTTAACATGCTACATATGTAACCTAGATGTTGTAGTCACAGTTAATTTCTTTTTTCCTTTGTTACCAGAAAAGTAAGAGGTTTTTTATGTAAAGATCTGTTTTTTTTTTTTTTTCGTTTTTTTTTTTTATTCAAAAGTTGTTTTCTGGCCATTTAAATCTAATTTACTCAGGCCCAGAATAATTTAATTTCAAATTTTCACATCAACATCATCCTCCAGGCCCTTTACGTCAGTTGATAACAAGATTAGCCTTTTAGGCAGTGTACAGTTTGAGAAAGGCCTTTTAAAGTATGGCTTTTTTGGAAAGCTGACCTGCGGGCTGAAGAGGTTAACGGTAGAAAAACAGAGAACATTATACAAAACGTTTGTAACATGATTGAAAAGGACATGCCAGCAATAAGCATGATTATTAAATCTCCCTTCATTAGAAACCATGTTTCACATATTTTATCATCTTTTTTATACAGAATCACTTCCTGCTTCAGTCTATCTTTTTTTGTTAGGTTTAATGATGTTTACTAATAAGAGCATTTAATTTTATTCAGTCACAATTGAATACAGCTTGAGCAATAAATTGATTAAATACAATGGTGTATTATCATTTTCTGAATTCAGCACATTGTAAAAAAAATATTTAGCCCTCTGGTTTGTTAAGAAAACGACTGCTTATCAATTTATTGTTGGTTGATCTCTAAGACCGGTCGACCTTTTAAGTTCATTTATCAATCATTTGCATCCCTATAGGTTTTTAATTATTTGTTTAAAGAAATGTACTAAATGTGTGAAACTGTACATTACACAATACTGTGTATTATTTGTGTTTCAGAGTCATGGGAGTTAGATAAATAAAGTCCATTCTGGAGAAAAAAATAGAACCATATGTTTCTCCTATTAATTTGATATTTACTGGTAAATGTGTAATTTAGTGGATTTATAGAAAAGTAACATTGCAGATTGTAAAATAATAAATTAAACATGTACAGATTAATATAACTAAATCCCTAATTTATTGTTCAGTGAGTCATTAAGCATGCAAATATCTTTGATGCTCTGTAATAAGTTGTATTTCTATGTGGCTCCATATTATGCCAGCCGTCTTTCTATCTGGATCGTTTCCGGGAAACACTGACCAACTTATCTGTTTAATTGCTTCTCTTCTTTGAGTAAAACAGTGTAGGTTAAACGTTTCACAGATTGTTTTTTTTATTTATTTATTTATTAATGCATTGTTCTTACTGTTATACAGGAATCAGAGAAAGAGAATCAGGAAATAAACCTGCAGCAGCCAGAAAGTTGTCCAGAACAAAACAAACTGAGTAAAGATGCTGAAATCATCCAACTGTCACCACAGAAGATTTCCCAAAACCACGTAGCCAAAGATCTCCCCAGCTTCTCTGGATCAAGTTCAACCAAGGTGGAAAACTGTTACATGGGAGCAAAGGAAGCCATGTTGAACTGTGGAACGGATAAAACAGGCACCTCCACTAACTCTGATAACAATGATGTAAGAGTCGAAGTTGTGAGTGTTGGGAGTCAAACTGAGAACAGTTTGCTTTCTAAAGCTTCTGCAGCAACTCAGACTGAGGAGGATTTAGATGCTGAGGAAAAATCAGTGGAATCTCCTCCTGCTTCATCTGTTTGTTCAGCTGAGAAGGCCGAAACAGGCGACAAAATGTTGCTCTCTAGCTCCTTTCCCATCCCAGCTGATCCGGCCCGACTTGCTGAAAGGATCCGTCGCAACAGGACGCAGCTGTCAGCCGCCTTCGATGATACAGAGTACGAGCCATACGGCCTGCCAGAAGTCGTCATGAAGGGTAGGGAACATTACTACTTTTTTCTTTTAATAATAAAAAACAAATAAATAATACATTTATAATGTCCTGCCACACTGTGAAAATAATCAGTCTTATTGTTGTAATCATGCATGATTTTTAAGATTATTAACTTAAATGCTTGATTTTCATGTTTGAATTATGAATGCATTTCTGAATTATTAGAATTTTTCTTCTGTTTAATCTTTTTAATTAGAGTTAAGCAATATATTTTATTGCATTTAACTATATGTATTTCTTGGATTTTGGTCCTAAAGGTCTTAGTGATATTTTAGTGCTCTTTACTGCCCCCGAGTGGTTAATGTCTTTATTCAAAGATTTAGAGGAAGACAGTTGTTTTTTTGATACCAAAAAAACTTCTTCAGCTGTGGTCTAAATACAGCCCAAAATTTGAGGAACTTGATTTTAAAATATAGTTTAAGAGATTTAAGTTTTTCACACTTGAACAGTTAATGTTCTGCTTTTACAGTTTCTTCTCAATATTTATTAACAAAACATAAACATTCCAGCTTTTCAAACCCACCCTGATCTTTTTTCATTCAAATTTTCCATTATTTTTTCGATCATTCACCATACTTAAGCCATCTTTCCCTATTTCTTATTTTTCCTTTTCTTCTTCCTAAACCTTCAGGTTTTGCTGACATCCCCACCGGCCCTTCATGCCCTTACATAGTGAGAAGAGGTTTGTTAGGAACGGTCCAACCTCTGTCTGAGAAAGAACGCCAGGAGGACGAGGAGACGGACTAGAAGAGAGTATCAGGTAGCATAAAGAACATTGCTAACATTTTATATATTATTTTAGCACCAAGCAAAGACAATCTGTTTTAAATCCAAGTATACTGAGATAAACAAAAGTTGATTTTGGGCTTTTAAGGGTACTTTAGAAGTACCGTATTGGCCGGAATATAAGACATTTTTTTTTTTTTTATTAAAAATGATGTAAAAATGTGGGGTCGTATTATATACAGGTTGACAGTTGTCTGTGGTCGCTACATGAACGCAACAGGAGAGGCGCTAGTTATTTTGTAAAGCCAGTGACCTCACTGTGGCTGGGGTCATTTTTTTTTATCACAACAGAGAAAAAGTGACAAAGATGCTACAAATGGAGAGTTTAGAGAGCTTAGAACAGAGTGGATCAAAAATCAGTCAAGTTTTTCGACATTTGAGGCGGAGTAATCACGCCAATTTTAAAATAATGGTGGTCAACGCAGCGGAGGCATCCAACACCTGTCAGGCAGCAGAGAAATACGGAGTTACAGAGTGCAGTGTCAGAAGATACATTCAGAAAGACAAGAAAAATGCGAACAGCAAAAAAAAAAACTTATCAAAGAATTGCAGAGCTGCAGGGTGAGAGTAGGAGTGACAGCGAGGCAGGGGACGTCTGTGAGTAAAAGCCTCATGCAGGTTTTTGAGTCGTTCTGTGAGCAAAATTCAGACTGCACTTGAATTGAAGTGTTGCAAAATTTCAATTAAATGTCATTAGTGTGTTGTTGTTGTTTTTTTTATTTCATTGCACACATCTTTCACTGAAATATTATTTCAATTAAATTCTTACCACTTCAATATCAAATAGTTTCCTTGAACCAAATACATTTTGTTCCTAAAAACTGGTCCTGGTAAGAGGGGGGGTAGTCTTATAATCAGGGTCGGCCTATATTGGGGTCAGTACCGTTATTACTTTTTTGTTGTTGTTTTTTTCTTTTACATATAACATAAAGCAGTGATCCATCAGTCTGGGAGATGGTGGAAAACAACAGAAACAATATCAGTTTGATTAGTAAAAACCCAGATAGCCAGAGGACCCTTAATAATTTACGCAACATAAATTGAATGAAACCATTTATATTTATTCCTTACCTATTTAAATTTAGGTTTCCACTTTGCATTCAGTCTAATTTCTTTAACCTATTTTTCAAAAGACGAAACTGCTCCTTACCCCAGACTTACCCATATCTAGCAGCTGGAGCAGCTGGCAGGTCAGCTTCAGGACTTTATCCATCTTTTATTAGGTTTGGGGAATGAAATCAACCTTATCCCATCCTTTAAGTGATCAGAGTAACACCTATCTGAATTGAATGTTCCTAACTGGTAACCTTTAACCCTGTTATTGATGTTTTTTTCATTAATTTGCCCATGAATACAATGTGTTTCTAATGATCCTGACAGTGTTGTCAGTAGGCCTGTTGCGATAATGAATAAATCAATTAATTGCACGATAAATAAAAATTATCCACGTCATTTAATTTATCGGCTATGTCGTCTCTGCCTGTGTTTTTCTCCTATTGATGACGCTGGATGAAAAGGCTTAACTCCGGTGCTATCTACTGACCCCTCCCCTTCCTCATTTTTGAGGAGTGAGGAGGAGTGGACTATTGCATCAGGTAGTCAGCGCGCATCATTTTGTACTTCTGCAGCTTTAGAGACCCGTGAGAAGTTAGCGAGGTAAAAAGAAAAAACCCACATCTTATGTTGGGGGAAAAAGCTCGAAATGGAACTGGTTTGAAAGCCGAGCGCAACAGCCGCAGTGTGGGAGTATTTCGGATTCAAACCAAATGACAGAGGCGAACCGCTGAACCTATGCGAGCCAGTATGTCGCATTTGTCATAAAACAGTAGCAACTAAGAGCAGCAATACAACCAACCTACACATATACGCTCACAGACAGCGTAGTTCATTTAATTGATAAAGAGATGCTTCCATTTAATAGTGTTGAAAAGCCGGCATTTCGAAAAATGTTGCAGACATTTGATAGACAGTATGAATTCCCCACAAAACATACATATCACCAATGTGATATTTTGTATATACGTTTTTATTTTCACTGTGGTTTTATCTTGTGTTTAGTTTTTATTCAAGTGTATTTTAAGTTAACAGAGACTGAGAGTCCATTTAATTTTTACTTCTCGTTTTATTTTGTTAATTAGTTCCAGAAAGTGTTCTGTTGAAAATAAAGTGTGTTTATCTTTGGCAGGAAAATGCATGCATTATTACGTCATTTCCATTAAATCAGTGTAAAAAGGTCTTCAAACAATATTATCGTTTATCGCAAGAATTTTTGAGACAATTAATCTTTCTTCAAAATTTGTTATTGTGACAGGCCTAGTTGTCAGTTCCTGCAGGGGCATTTTGCTCTGAGACAAATTGTGATCACTGATTGGTAAGATGCTAAATAGCTTTTCTAACTGATTGGCAGGTAGCGTCATGTAAGTTACTGAGTTAATGCTTCAGCATAGATAAACACAATAAACAGAACAATATCTTCTCTGTATTTCTACATAAATATTTGATATTGGATGAACTGAGATTTATTTCTGTTTGTTGTAGCTGAAGGAACTGATCCCTTTGGGAGGATTCACTGTGAACCCGAATGATGGAAGATGGCCGTCCTCAGGGAGACCCTACATCCCCCACAGCACCCGTTTGACAAACTAAAAGAAGTTTCCTGCCTCTGTGCGTGAGCTTGCAGGTAACCGGGCCTGCACTGGCACGCTGAACGTCTCCACCATGGTTCTGAAATGCTTTAATTTTCCCCTGTTCAGCCCCAAATTGCCATGCAGAGACTCTGGTTTAGGCCACATCCACATGTGTAACCATCCAGTCAGATAGGGATTTAGTGATTTTTTTTATTTTTTTTTGCTGCTTCTGAAGCCACTTTTTCTAAGGAATCGTTTTGTTTTTCTTTAACTCTGACTGAGCTCATGCGTCACAAGGCCTCTGCCTTGCCTTCAATTAAACAGCTCCTTGTGGATGTATTTCTGAACCAGCGCCTGTCAAGATAAGTTGGACCTGCTTTCCTGAAGGCTTCAGCCAGATTGGCCAGTTATGAAAACATATTTCAAATTTATATGTTTTTTTTTGTTTAATTTATGGACAATTGAATGTGTTTTATTGGTGGAGGGGGTGTTTACAGGAGTGTGTGTGAAAAAGCATTAACTGTGATTGTGAACATGTGTGTCCTGAACTTGATGTTACTGTTTGTATATAAGTGTGGCTGAGCACACGCCTATGAGTCAGCGTAACCTGCGCCTCTTTCCGCTCCATGTATGGAGATCCACTCTGGGCTCTTTCTCTCGGGGAAGCTGCTAGGCTTCCCAGTGTGTCACTAACAAACACTAAAACACAGGTCTCTTTTAAAACTTAAAAAAAAAACAAACAACAACTCATAAAACTGATTTGTCTTAGTGATGAAGAGGAGAAACCAGAGGATGCAAAGACCCTGTTGTCTTCTGTAGAATGAAATGTCAAATGTTCAAAATGAACCTCGGGATAAACATCTTATTTGACCAGAAATAGGAACGCAACTAAAAAAAGAAAACATAAGCATCATATTTAATGAGGGAAACCTCAATGATGTCACTGGAAATAATAAAGCGATTGATCCTAGTAGGTTGACAGCGACCATCTCCTCCCTCTGAACTTTTTCTAATTTTCAACGTTCCACCACAAACATCAGGGTGTTTTACTTGGATTTTATCTGCAGAGGTGAGGTGTTTCAGTCAGCGGGCCAGAAGGTCATCTGATCTGAGGACGTCCTTCTACATATTGGCTGTGACTCCTGCACAGTTTACAAAGTTTAAACCAGAATCTTTCATGTTTATCATTAATAGTTTGTTTTAATCTCTTCTTTTTTTTTTACTCTGCTTCAAACCGCTTTACAGCTGCTTCCCCTTTTCATACTTTGGTTTGTTTACAAATTTTCTCTGATAATAAACCTGAGAGAGAATACAAATTTGCATGTGGATATTATTGTTTAGTTGTAAAAAAAAAAAAGATTTTAGCAGCAAGATGGTTCAAATCTCAGCTCTGGGTGTTTCTGGATTCTCCTCATTGAAGGAATGGATTCTCTCCACAGGTTAATTGGTCTCTAAATTACCTTTATCTCTAAGTGTTTGTTTTTCTGTATGTCTTTGTTGTCCTGTGATGGAGACAGGACCTGTCCTCCAACACCTGCTAAAGACCCTGCATGGATAGACAGATATAGACAATAGATGGGTGGATTGCTTTCCTTCCACTTAACAATTATATGCTGCCTACACCTAAGTTAGAAATTACCAATAAATGATTTAGATGTTTGTGGTTTTAACAGAAAACAAAAAAAATAACTGAATAAGTGGTTTTTGGTTATCGCCTAAGAGGTATTTGAAGAATAAACTAAAAAGAACAATAACCATACAAGTATTGACGGAAAGTAGCTGTAAGTTTTTGTATTTGAACATCAATGGGTTTCCAAAAATAGAAAGAAAGAAATATAGATGTTTAGAACAGAAAATACCAAGATGTCCTTGATGCAATCTATTTTGGATTTGTTATTTGATTGAAGCAGTTGCCAAGTTTAGAGTTGTTCGGTAAAAAGCTATGTCTACACCTGACAGTTATCACATAAGAGATACTTGTTACATTTTCTGTGAAAAAAAAAAACTTTAACTTAAGTGAGAAATAACAGAATCGGTACTCGAAATGATGGTGGAACAGTTTTTAAAAGGATCACCTTTCATATTGTTATTTCAGACCTCACTAAATGACCTTCATAGTTACACTGCAGGGCATCATCCTTTCTTTGACTTCAGTTGCATGAATGCAGATCAAATTTATTAGGCTGCTTCTCATCAACTTGAAACCTGCTTTTAGACAGTTTTTAAGATGTAGTTTAGAATAGTATTTAAAATGAACTTGAACTGTTTTAATGTGCTTTAGTGTTTTAAAGTTTTTGAGGTGAAATAAATGAAGCTAGATTTTAAAGCTTTGTGTTTTGTATTTCTGCTTAATTTAAATGTTACTGTTGTTGCCTGGCTTTACATGTGGACTCGGTCTGAGCTCAACCGTTCACTCTCTGGGATCTGTAGTCCGCTGAGGTGGGGGGTCTGACTGAGCAGGGAAACACTGAATCTTATCCTCTTCCTTTGCACACTTTAAGGTGGCTGTATCTGTGTTGTGTTCAAATTACAATAAAACATTTTCTCTTGGCTCAGCTTGTTTGTTTTTTTTAACCTTCCAGTCTGACCAGTCAATCTGCTATTTTTTAAACGCTAAGCTTTAATGATTGGTCAGTTTCGTTCTCATTTACGGTAGTTCTTTTCAATTAAGTTCAAATTTGTGTTTTGGTCCAATGAAGCGAGCCTCAAAGTGTTTTTTTGTGGAATATCTTGGTTAAATCACATAAGTGTTTCCGCAATTACCAACATCCCTTTGCCTCTTGGTCATAAAGACGTCAGAAGGTGCTGAATAGTGTGGATGAAAAAAGTTTGCCAGCTTCTGGGGCCTGTTTTGTTTCATAACGCACACTTTCTTCAAGTGCCTCAAAAACTGTGGACCATAATTCTGGTTGTGAAGAAACAAGTGTCTCCTTTTATTTCCTAAAAACGACAGAAGCCCGATAGCGATGGCTTTAGAGCTGAGACGCCACCCCTTCGTCCCACGACCAGCTCAGGAAACTCCAGGCCCTTTGCTCTTCCTCTGCTGTGACGCCACTCCATCAAACATTCACACACTGCACTGTAATAGGCTTCACATGCACTCCGCCTCATCCTTTGCTTCATCTCCTCCTCCTCCTCATATGATCTGCTCCCCTCTGCCCGAGTGATGTAGGGTCACGAGAACGGGGGGGGAACACCTTCCAAGGAGAAAACACACATGCAGTCATCCATCTGCACAACACACACACTGAGCCCATTGCTCAGAAGATTTTGAGCTGCATAAAGTTAAGTAGGAGAACAACATTTCTCATCATTTAAGGTAAGACTTGCTGGGGTTCTGTTTTTAAGAGATATTGTTAGCATTTTCTTTTTTTGTCCTGGAAAAATATTTTTTTCTGTCATTGGGGCAGCTTTTTAGCCCTTTCAGATAACTTTATTTACCTCTTTAAGGTTAAAAAATATTAAAGCAGACATATTATCAAAAAGCTCATATAACAGAACTCTGAACAACTTAATAAAACAGAAGAACAGATTTATGCATTCCATGAATGCCTCCAATGACATGATCTTTAATTAGCTGCAAGATTATCTTTTTTTTTTTTTGCACCCCAAAACAGTTCTGTCTTTATGTTCTAAAGATATTTGTTCCCAGAGCATGAAACCAGTCTTGCAGAGCTTCAACCTGTGATCTCCTCCTGACATCAGAGTTTGCTCACTGGTAAATACTTTCAGGCAAATGAAAGTATGACTAAAAGGCCTTTGTTTTGTTTGTTTTTATCTTTGTGGTAAATTCTTGCCTAAGAGGCTATACCTTTTCCCACAGTCGGTTTGCTTGGTCTGTCATGGTTAGCTGAAGTTTCTATTGCAGCTTTGTCACCAAATTTTTGTTTAGGTTTCCTTCCTGTTTGAGGTTTTTAAGGGATTTCACTCATGCTTTGCATTTATGTAATACTGTAAATGCAGTTATTTGTTTTTTTTTTCTATCATAGATGTTTTTCTTGCAGAGGTCTCAACCCTCTCTGAAGCCAAATGTCTCTTGAGATTTTATTAAACTGCAATTAAATCCCTAATATGGTTACTGTTAGTTTCTTAGGGCTGTTTATGGATAGTTATTGAGGTCCCTTCAGAGTAAGAACAGTTTCTATAGAAACAGAAAAATATTGTAAAAAGGGGGTATTTCTTGTAAATGGCAATAATATGATAAATGTTTATTTTCAAATGGATTCTTATGAAACTTTGTTTCAAAATAAGAGCATCTTTACTTGCCAAAGAATTCACCAAGGCTCCCCAGCACAATGCAGGAGGTGCTGTACACCTTTTAGAGGTGAACGGATGTAATTAGATACATGGAAGAAAACCTGTTGGATGATGGAAAAATTTGACTAAGCAGAAGGTCTTTCCTCCCAAGTTTACTGCAAGTGCCTTGATGGAGGGGTTAGGATAAAAAGCAGAAATGACTCACTAAAAGTCCAAACATAAATCTAATTGAACATCTGTTGTGTAATGAGGTGAAACCTTGAAAAGTTGATTGGGCATGGATTTACTCCATGGAAGGAAGACGCTGTACCAAAGCCAATGCAGTATAACATAATGAATCCACCACCTCAAGCTTCTCTTACTTCCTGCAGTCCCCCACAGTTTAGTAAGATTTGTCTAAATGTAAACCCAAGTATACCTCATCTATAACAGTTTATGTCTTTTCTATGTCTCGGTTCTTTCCAAACAGCCATGCTCCTGATTTATTACCCCACCTGCATTGATGTTTAACTTAAGATTACATCTCAGTCTGTGGACCTCCTCTCTCCAAACGCCCATACCTAATGCCTTAGCACAATATTAAAATGTGCCAGCATAGATTCAGACAGTGACACTACCAAAAACATCTGTCAATGTTGAAGCCAGGGGCAGGGAGCAGGACTCCCCACATATAACAAAGGCAGCAGTCCATTAGAGCAGAATGCAAACAGTTGGCCTGGCTCTGGGAAATCTCAGAACACTGTCAGGGTCCACGCGGTGGTGAGCAGGGCTGGTCGACCCACAACGACAGGCTCTTAAATCCTAGTCCTGTTTGAACGCCTGTCTCGGCGTAAACACAAAAGAAAGCAAAAGAAACTAAGTGAAGATAAGAGATAAACCTGGTTTTGATTTATGGTCTGTGATGTTTCTTTGGAGGCTTGGCAGAGTCTAATCATCTGAGAGGCCGCCGGCAGGGTGGCCTGCATTGTGTCGCTTTTGCACCAGTTTTTATGATAAATTCCCTCCAACAGAAACATCTATTAAAAAAGAGGTTGAAGAGAAGGTGGAAAAATAGTTGTGGATCCAAATTCTAACATGTACCCTTGTATCCACAAGCGTTCAAATGGCTTGGATGGGACAGATGGAGCCACAATACTCTGACCGCTAAAGATCCTACCAGGAGAGAGGAGCAGTAAAGGATATTCCTTCCCCTCTGGATCTCTGAAAGTTTAACATGGGATGAGCTTGCCAACTATGAGTTAAGGTACAGTTTCTGTCTGCCTATTTAAAGTATTTCATTATGTAGCATGCAAAACTTCAACATTAGGATTAATAAATTAATGAAAAAGGCAATTTTTTTTACCTTATAGATTTGTTTCCATTTTTCTATCTATCAAATCTATTTTGAATAAATACTAAATTTAGTTCATTTTATTTTTCAAATATTAGGGGAAAATCAATCTAAGCCAACCTGACCTTATATTAAAAAGTAATTTCCCCATAAACTTGGTAACCAAGCAACATTCACCATCAGCGATAAGTGGCTTTACATCATAGTGGAGAAACTTTGATTATCTAGAGAATTGTTTCAATCCGACACTGTTAGAGAATTTTTCCAGCAGTTGAAGGTCATGCCAAAAAAAAAGGATTCAATTCCAGTTCCTAATTCACCCCAGATCCTTGATTTAAGTTTTTTTCAACCCATTCAGAGGTGAATTTGCTGCAGTGCTTCTGAGCATTGTCCTGCTGCAAATCTAAATGCAATTTTAAACCGTGATTTAACTTTCTGCACCTATTTTGGAAAAAATTAAACATGATTTATTTTTCTGCAGCTCATACTCTTGGTGTTGGGGACAATGTTTTTGCTCCTGAAACACTTTCTACTACCTTTCATTGATAAAACAATTGAACTGGAAAGCTAAAATTTAAAGAAGCTTAAAGAAATATCAAAGAAACCAATTTAAAGAAACCATTTAAAGATCATTAAGAAAGCCCTGGTTCTAAGGAAATATGTAGAGACAGTACTGTTCTCGTAACACAAAATAAATAAATGGAACATTCCAATGATTTATTAATACCACGGCTTATTATCGCACTTCTAAACTAAGTCTGTGTGCATAAAGGATGAAACATTTCTATTATAAAATCAGTGCAATAAAATCTCACATGCCTTCAGCAAAGCAACCCAGGAACCCGGTGTCTAAAATAATATATGTAATGTTATCCTTTATGGAAACTTACTGTGCTCTTTGAAGAACTGTTTGTGCTTCAAAGCAAGTAGAAATTGTTCATCCCCATCAATATCTCTCTGTCTCTCTGTAAGCCTTAAATGGTAGACCTAGTTAGCCTTTAGTCTCCCATTGGACTAGCTTTAACAAAGCACTATTTTATTTTTAAACATTACTTTAAAACTATATAAAAACAGAATGAAATTACTTTTTAAAATCTTCTAATTAAAAAGTCATATTTGCCTCTTTAGAAAATATAACCTATTATAAACGCAAAATGTAAATTGCAAATAATTCATGAACTAAATCACAAAGCTTTTTTAATGTGTAGACTTTAAAGTTATTTGTCCCCTGTGACGGTCACTGGTTTTCCTTTGACATACACATATTTCTTTTTAGAACACTTGCGTATCTTGTTTGCATATATCTTTGCTCACACATACAGTACTTATCTAAAGGAACTTCCTGTTTATGGCCAGCTGCATCCTGGTGCATCCTGACTGAGACACCGGACCAGACCCCGAACCCTGGAGGGGCGGGGGTGTTGACCGGGAGGAAGATGCGATGCACCACCCTCATCACCTTGCTGACAGGGGTCATGCTGTACCTGGGCATGGGAGCGCTCGTTTTTGTCAACCTAGAGGCCCCAGAGGAGAGCAAGGCGCATACAACCCTGCTCAAAGCCAAGCAGGTCTTCCTCGAAAATAACTCCTGCATCACTGAGGTGGACTTCCAGGAACTTGTGAAGGTATCTCTAGGGACACAGAGCAAAGAGTCTCCGGTTCCTCCTCATCACTGCACTAAAAGGCCACTTTTTTCATCATCAAACTACAATATATTTTAGTTTTATATAATAATCCTAAAGGGGAAGAAAAATATACATTGTTCTAAAAACATTTAAGACATTGAGAAGTCTGGCCCATTTAGAGACAGCCCCTATAGGTCAGACGTTGGTTACATACAGTATACCTTATGGGGCATTTCTCTATATATCTGTCTGTCTAGAGATGTTTTGTCCTTTCGCAGTCACAGTTATCTTCCCATATTTTCTGATAAAGTGTTCTCACAGCATGATGCTGCCACCACCATGTTTCACTGTGGTTGTAGTCTGTGCAGTGTCTGTGTTCCACCCCACAGAGGATTTTACATGTAAGCAGAGCAGTTTGCTTTTTGTCCCATCTGATCAGGGCAGCCTTTTTTCACATGTTCTACATGGGTTGTTTGCAAATAAGATTTTTTTTTTCTTTTTTTTTGACCTCTTCTGAACCATTCTTTCAAAAAGGGCAAGATTGAGGGAGTTGAAAGCAGAGATTTATCCTATCAAATACGGTTTTTATTCCATTAAGTCCTCATAGGTAGTCACCTGAAGGGGTTTTGCAACCATCTATAAGGAAGCAACTTTAAAAATAAAGACAAACCAGAGAAAGCGAAGGTGCTTTCAAACTTTTGACTAAATAGTGTTTAATGAGCTAAAAGGTGACCCTCTACCATGGAGGTAATTGTTCGGGGGGGCTCCTGTCCAAACGTGCGTTTTGGTCCCCTGCACTTTTACTGTCCAAAAACAATGTCACGCTACAGTACGCAGACATTCGTCGAGCACTAGGACCAAGCTGAAAACCGCAGCTCAAGCTAAAGTCCGCTTCCCCGAGTTTAGCCCACCCACACGCTCCTGATTGGCCCACTGTCTTGCGTGATTGGTGGTCAAGAATGTTGTAATGAAAATTTCGTCCATGCCCCCTACAGGTGATGAACTGAACTGTTCTCCATGAGGAGGTTGCTCTGAGCTTCCAACAGTTCCCCCCTTACCTTTCTGTTTTGTTTGTAGCGTCCACCTATGATGGTTCTTCTGTTTATGGCCTCCTGGAAGAGCTTCTCCATCTGGTAGAATGAAAGCAAATATCTTAGATCCTCTGGGATTGCAGCGCTCTGCAGTCCCAAAGAAAGACAATTAACTATTTAGCTTTTTTAAGCAACAACCAAGTATAGCACAGCACAAAGACACAACAAAAAAATCTGTGTAAGGGGAAACTCCTATGTTTAGGGGCCTTTCTAATGCTAATGCCCCATTTCTAATGCTGCTCTGGGCAACCACCCATCTAGCACATGATGCTCTTGGTGCACTAATAATCTCTTCAAAAGCCTTTAGGAAACAGCTGGATTTATACATTAGGCTGCACACAGAGGTGCTTTCTAAATATGAGACCTCTAAAGGCAACTATTGAATTTATGGTTTCAGATTAAAAGATGAATATGAAATTATTGCATCCTATCACTAAAGCAATGCGGTACTTTCCACTGGCCAGTCACATGCAGTCATTATTATTATTTTCTGAACTAAAGCGACATTTTCTTGTAACTTGGCTGATTGTGAAAAGCCAAGAGAATGAATGAATTCTTCTCAAAGGCCCTGAATCTCTTTGATATATTCATTGAAAGCAGCTTTTAAATGTCCTGTAGGTAAAATTATAAAGCGTGACTTTACTCTCGTACTATTCCCACACGTTTTTTGTTTGTTTGTTTTTTTGTCTATTTAGCCAAGGGCCTTAAACACTTTCATTACATTTTTTTAAAACCTGTAGGGTAGTATTGCATTAGTGCAGCATTTCTGTATTAAATAGCTTTCTTTGTGGTCGTTATCATATTCCTATTTATCTGATCTTCTGTTTTGTCATTGAGTGCAAACAGCCTCACCACAGACAAACCTCCTAGTTGAGATTTTATGTGCATCTTTTAATGGTGCTCTTTAAACAGTTTTCCACACCTTTAGTCAAAGATTTACAGTTTGGGCCAAGCTGCCGAAATAAACTGCAGGTTATTCAGACTATGAAATAGCTCTTAAATGACAATACTGTAGATGCACAAACATAGCCCAAAACCAGCCCCATTGATTACCCCTAGACTTGTAAAAAGGAGATGTAATGTTAGAAAGTTTTCATTGTTCTCACTGAGGAATACGGTAGTTAAAATGTTTAAAAATGATAAAAAAAAAAAAAAATCCCAGATTGGTTTTCGGTTGCTTCTGCCTCTCTGTGTTAATTACATAGCATCTTACAAAAACTGAACAAAAAGATTTAAATTCACACCCTTCAAATTATATGTTTACTTCATGCTTTAAAGGAAGAGTGCTAATTATTGCACAATTACAAAGGAAACCCCCGAAGAGAATGTGTGCTCATGTTAACTTATCCATAAAACTCAATGGGGAATGTTGGAAACTGAAACTTCTCAGAGAATAGAGTAGAAATAGCCTTTATTGTCCCACAGTGGGGAAAGTCACATGTTCCAGCTTTAAGGAAATGGAATCATCCAGAAACTCGGGATAACACTGAAAATAAGAATCGGAAACTGTTTAGTAAAATAAGAAGAAATATTTTCATTACTATCCTTAATGCAATTGGGCAGTGTGACGTCAAGGCAGAAAAACATCAGTCGTCTCTTCTCTGTGCGACACCCAGTGACCCAATACCCAGTGATCCCCTTTGGTCCCTTTCCATTGTTAAGTGTTATTGCCTCTAATAATCTTTATTTGACAGAAGAAGAGGTATTGCCTGGTTGCTACGGTGACTCCATCACCTCTTTTATGAAACACAGAAAAAGAGCAGAACACAGATGGGCACACAAGAACAGGGGCTGCATATTGAAATATAAAATCTATCGTTTTTACAATTATGTCTCAATAATATACACAAACCTGGTAAAAAAAAAAATGTTAATTTAAAAATTCCCTTTTTTTCATATAAAGTGCCTTATCTTCAAAATGACGCATCTTATTTAATGTGTTACTCAGAAATAATTTTTAAATCTATATCAATAAAAAAAAGTACATTTCATTATTTAATCTTGCTAAATAGTATTAACAAAACCATTTAAACAAGTTTGCAACTTAACAGGCACAAGTAATACGTGTTTGGATAGGAGTAAACTTGATGCTTTTTTCTTTGTCTGACCATGTTTAGGTCAAAAATAGAAAGAATTGTTTACTTATCAAACTGCTTGGTGACAAAGTTTGTTGCACCGTTGCCAAGCAGCAAGAAGGTTCTGAGTTTGATCCCTGGGGCAGGGTCTCTCTGCATGGAGTTTGCATGCTCTCCCTGTGCATAAGTAGATTTACTCTGGCTTCCTCCCACAGTCCAATAACATGACTCTCTAGATTCTCCCTGCGTGTGCATGATTGTATGTCTCAGTGCCTCTCTGTGTAAAAGTTAATAGCAGAGAAATAAAAATTAGTAAAATTTGCTGAAGTTTGTTCAGTCAGCTCCTCTTAGTAATAAATCAACTTAGATTTTAGTGAGTGAAATTTACAATGTATTTTTATGTGGAAAAGTTACCTAGCTTTTTTTTAGGGAATTTGCCTTCCGGTTTTTTTTCGTGTTGGGTTTTCCTGACCTTTGCCTTGTTTAGCTGAAGCAGTGGCTTTCAGAAAAGTCACTATCATGCACTGGCTGAGCTGTAAATGTGAGAACAGTCTCATGCGTTCTCCATATTATTGGAAGATAGACGTGTTTTCTTCTGAACTAAACATTGAGTTCTGGCTGCAATCTCCTGAAATAGTAGAACACAGACTCCGATTAAAATAAACAATATTTTTACCCTGATTCCTACAGTTAATTTTTATACAAAAATTATATTTGGGCTTGACTTTTCATTAGATAACACAACATTTTTTCTCAACTAAATGGTTGCAAAAACTAGTGAGCTTTGACCCATAACCTTTATTAACTGTAGAGCTTTGATCCATCATTGTGAGCCGTGTTCTCATGTGGGATGGCCTTCTTTGTCTAACAGGAGGCTCTGACAGTGGTGCATTTTTTATAAGGCTATTATCAGTCTGCTTCTTTCCTATATATATGTAATACTGACTTTTCTTCTTTGCTTTACAATTATTACTTGCTTTTTGTTCCATTTAGCTCCACAGAACTGCAGAAAAAGGACTTTTATTTACTCTGCTCCATCTGCATGAAGCATTCTGCTAAAAGACTGGAAATTAAGTGAATTAATTATACTGAACATGTTTATTACTAGACTGCTAGCACATGAGATATCCTCTTTATAATGTCATGGTTTTATTTTTTCAAATTGTGTCTCAGTTGTGTATTGTTAATTATCATTGTGGTGTAAAATTTGTCGCTTCTGACCTAGGAAAAATCTATTTTTATTTTAAGCGAGGCTTTCCCGGTTAAATAAGGGTTAAATAAAAAAAATTGAATAAATTTGCTGTTTGGGGGGAAAGGGTTTTATTTCACAGTGCACTTACTTTTATATATAATGTTTAATTTAAACCAGAAAAACAGTATAATTCATGAAACTTTCATGTATGATAAGAAGATGAATGCAAACTGTGAACATTTTTAATTTTGATTTAACTGATCGTTTACATGACAGCTATATGTCACACTTGCAGAAACTAGTATCTGCTATTGAGGCAGGTCTGGATATAAGCAGCCTCTCTCCCAACCTGACCACCCGCTGGGATATGGGCTCTGCTTTCTTCTTCTGTGGTACCATCATCACTACAATAGGTAAATAGTAACAGAAAACATCCATCTGATTATCTGGACTGATAATCTTACTAATGTATTTTAGATATATATTCTCAGTGTGATTATTTTTAATCACATTAAAATGTAACCCTCAGAAGTTTATTCATATTACATTTGTAGAGATTGCCCTTTGATTTTTGTTCCCAGGCTTTGGGAATCTGTCACCTCGGACATGGTTTGGACAGTTGTTCTGTGTGTGTTATGCCCTGGTGGGCATCCCCATGTTTGGCTTCCTGCTTGCTGGAGTGGGTGATCATATGGGCACGGTGCTGCGGAGAGCTGTGGCCAAGATTGAGAAGCTCTTTTTGGTAAGAATGGTCTGTCCTGCACAACATTTAAAACTTGAATCTAAGAATGCATAGCGTCTAGTGACTGTTTCTTAACGGAAATAAGAAGCTGAATCTTTGCAGTCAGAGAATCAATAATAAGTACAGACAAAAAGAGGCTGCAAAAACTACCATTGCTGTAAAAATATTTTTTTTATAAACTGCACAACAATTCAAGCACTGCTTTTCTCCAAATTAGGAACCACCCCATTATTTTCAGGACCTGCCTGGATATTAGAATGAGGTGATCAAAGCACATCTGGAATATCTAAATATCCACTGGATAGACATATTTTCACCAACTCCTTTTTTTTATTGCTTTCCCAATGGTACAACAATACCACTATGGCTATCGTGTCCGCATCATCATTTTTCTGATTTATATTTCTAATTAAAATAAGTTTTTGCTCCTCCACCATCAGTTTTAGTCTCATGTTTGAGGAGAAAACAACACCAGGACTTTTATCAGCATAGGATTTATATTAAGGGTATATAAAACTGGCAATACTGTGAAGAGTTTTAGTCTGAAGCAGCATATCTTGGAAAAGTTATATACTAACAGAAAAAAAATCTGATGTGCAAAGCAACTCCATAACTGTAATTGAGGATAAATTGCTGCATTACCTCAATGATGAATTATTAGCTTTGGCATTTGAAAGCTGAAGGCACTGCTCATGAAAACTGCTCATTACCACCTAATGCATGAAAAAATGTGTATGAGACATGTCAATAGAACATTTAGATTTTGTGTGGTTTGCTAGCAGTTTTCTGTTGGGAGAATTTAAAATAAAGAATTGCCTGCCTTTTTGATATTCAACTACTATGTTTTAAGGGTTATTGTGGGGGATTTGTGTTCCTAGGAATTTACAGATTGACTTTTAAATACAACTCACCCATGAGAAGAGGCATGTTGGAGAGCTAAGTGCCCACCAAATACCAGCTGCTATAAAAAGGGTGCACATATTTAATATAAACAGTCTCCTTTAGTTGCCGGCGAACAAAAATATAAGTGCAGCACTTTTGGTTTTGCTCCCATCTTTTATGAGATGAGCTCAAAGATCTAAAACTTTTTCCATTTACACAAAATCACAATTCCCCTCAAATATTGTTCTAAATCCATTCTAAGTCTGTGATAGTGAGCACTTCTTTGATGAGAAAATCCATCCCACCTCACAGGTGTACCATATCAAGATGCTGATTAGACACCACGATTAGTGCACAGGTGTTCCTTAAACTGGCCACAACAAAGGGCCACAGGGAAAAAGTAGCACCTCCTTAGTTTATTAAATATATTAAGAACTAGTGACTGCCTACCAGAGTTTGGTTTTAGCCAATGAAATAGCAGCAGGCGCCATTAGAAAACCAACAAATTATGATTTTACACTTTTGCTGTTT